CTGGGATTTATTTACCTTCTATAATTGAAACATTGTTGCCTTCCTGCTCGCTCCAGCTCTGAGGCCATAGCCCGTTGAAAGCAGCTATCTGGGGTTTGTTTAGCTTCTATAATGGAAACATTGCTTCTTTCGGGCTCAGAGCCGGGCCGCGGCAGGCCGGGAACCTTGGCTTCCTCCATCACTGGAGCAAGCAAGCCTCCTGCTCACTTCAGCTGCGTGGCTGTTGGACGCCATCTTTGTTGGCAGGTAATTTGCATATTGCCCTGATTAGCCAATGGGAAACGTAGCGGAGGTACTGTTAATTACCCTTTTTTGTCTTTTATTAGATAGGATATGTATGTGTATACACACACACACACACACACACACACACACAGTGGGGCCTTGACTTACGAGTGTCCCGACTAATGAGTTTTTTGAGATACCAGCTGTCTCTTGGCCTATTTTTTGCATTGAGTTGACAGAGTAATTAGAGTTAATGAGGTCCTTAACGAGCTTGGTCTCGGAACGAATTAAACTCGTAAGTCAAGGCCCCACTGTATATATATGTATTTTTTTCAAACCCTAAAATGAATTGATGCGATAGCTGTGTGATATCACCCTTATTCTACATGACTTACCAATCCATTTCAAGTAATTTCTAACTATATGCGGTATAGGAGGAGGTAAGGGAGGGCAGGGAGCCTATATCAGGGAAAAAATGATGGTATACTGAAAAACCTATTTTTCTCTTTATAGATATACCTACCATTTGTCTATATGGTATTCTCCATCAGAGACCACATAAATATCACACCAAGTGTAGAGTGGATGACTATGTAGAAAATCCTGACTATCACACTTCAAATCTTTCCCAGGAATGTCCTATCTTTCATCCATTAACACTGTCTTAGGCAAAGGATGTCTTGTATGAACTGCCTACAAATAACAAACTAAATCTTTAACACTTTAAGTTAGCTTTGTTTTTTATAAAAGTCTTTATAGCTTCTGGCTTCATTTTCCTTTCAAAGAAAAAGAAATGAGTTTACTGTATCATTGTAGCTAAGGAATGTCAATTCTTTCAGTGTTCAAGTGATAGGGCAAGGCCCAATTGAGATCATTTTACTTGGTGCTTAGGGCAAGTAAAATAGGTGCTGATAAAAAATGATTCAGAGCAGCTATTACTAGAATTGTTAGTCTATATCACAAAACAGTGGGAGGAGGAAAATGCATTTGAAGGTTAATAGTTTTAGAAAGACAACTCAAAAGTGAAAATTTGAGGTAATGTAAAATCTGTTAAATAATCAGCAGGGTCTAAGAAATTATTTGCTTCATTATTCTGTTAACTATACTCATATAATGTTAAACCAAGAAGTTGAAAATGAGAAAATCTAACTCACCTACTGGTTATGTTAAACAAATATAACTCTACTTTGACATTGTACAGTTATACCCAAAAAATGTCCACATAGTGAATTTTGACGTATTATAGTCACAGTCTAAATGATATCGATAAAAATAACTGACAGAAAAAAGGGGGAAAAAAGAGCATTTATTCTTTTTTGATAAACCTCTATGTCTTTGTCTTTATTCACATACTGATGAATATATTATAGTGAATTTCAAATTTTAATATGGATGATCAGTATAAAGATTATAGTATAGTTGACTAGTGTAGTATTTTATTAACTGTCGCAGTAGATTTTTGAATTGTGTTTCATGTCAGGAAGGAATGCATTTCATAGGTGAATAATTATTTACTCCAAATACAGATTTTATCAGCATAGAAAACAGTGAAAAGAGGATGTTAATAATATAGGCAAGCCATTTACCAATATTTTGTGAAGAATTTATAGTAAGGCAAATATAACCTGGAACAAAATTAAAAGCATGTCATAGTCTTTTGAATAAAATCTCTTAAAATAATGTTTAGACCTACAGTAGGTGGTTAATATCATTATGTCTACAATGCTACATATTTTAATCAAAAACAATTTATAAGGTCAGTCATTTTTATTCTTTAATACAGATAGTTCTCAGGTTTTCATTCTTGGCATGTAAAAAATAGGAAGTGTTTTTCTATGTGGCAAATGAACTCCTGAGGAAACTCTTGAATATCTTCTCTGTAGCCCCAATTTCAAGCCAATAGATTAAATGTCCACATTGTTTGTAACCAAGTCACAGCTGTCTAAATTGTTCAGAAATGTTTAGCAGATTGCTTTAGAGCAGGATAACACCGTTTGAACCATAGTTTCTTGAATACTTCTTGCTGAGAGCTTATCTCATCCAGATGATGAAGGCAGCTGAAGCACGGTATATGAATCACCCACATTTTGCTCTAATAAAGGAGAACTTTAGGAAGCTCTAGTTGTTATAGGCAACACAGTAAAGCAATTGAAATGTGGATCTTACATTCTGCACCATTCAAACTGCTTGTGTAGGTATGTGTGCAGTGATAAGATACTTTAAAAATAAAATTTCATTTGGTGAGAGGCTTACTGTTAAACTGTAAAAGCAATACACAGATCATGTGACTTATCAGCATATAAAAATAGATATGCAAATGACTGTAGTTTTCCAAAATAGTATCTTTAATAGGAAACCCTTCATTTTATAAAGTGAGATAGTTTCAAGTTGTTTTTATAAGTAGCACTTATTTTTAATTAGAACTTGCACATCTTTTCAGCCATACCTTAATAAGCTATATGTATAAATATGAAAAATGGTTACATATAGTTGTATTATAAATAACAAAATTATCAAACAAGTTCTCATCAAGTACTTTATACTCATAATGGAGCTTTACATATATACTAGATTCTGTGATTACAGAAGTCTGCTATGTTGTTTTTTTCACTCAAGAAGTGAATAATTATAAAAGGTAAACTTTGTAATAGATCAGTTTAGAGAATGTAAATGAACTATTACAGAAGAATTCTATCAATGAATTTGAGAAGTGGGCTTATCTAAATATCCAGCTTGGAATGTATGTTCAATTATCTATTGCCATGAATATCTATTGCTCCCCCACCCTAAAACAAACAAACCACTTGCCCGTAAATTGTATGGTTTAGGAATTTGGATAGGGCATGTAAGGTTGTCTGTCTCTTTCCATGATGTCTCTGGCCTCAAATAGGATGATTCCATCTGGTGACTTGAATTGAAGGGGACTGGAATAGCTGAGACTCACTAGAAGATCTATTACCATAGCTTGGTATGGTAATAGAATATATGGTATCTTCAATCACCTGTCTGGTGGCTGGGCTGTACTGTTGACAAGAACACCAACATATAGCCTTTCCGCAAGGCTTTGGCTTCTCACAGAATGGTGGCTGGGTTCTAGAAAGCTTAAGCTAAGAGAACAATCATTTGCTAGGAGTGTCAAAGTATTTTATTTGTGTTTTAACTGACACAATGAATATATTTACTCAACATCTTAGAGAATGTGGTAGTTACAGATTGAAAGCTTGCATTTTAAAGCCTGAGTAGAACAATTTGCTGATTGCAAAAATCATTGACTATAAAGCTATGTGATGGATACTGTGAATTGTCCATCAAAATCCACCCTGACCCTCTTGTTCGGTAAAACAGTTGTGGGTGGGCTCATGACTAGTCAGAGAGCACATTTCTTAGCCTCATTTGAAGCTAGGTGTGGTTAGGTGGCTATATTCTTACAATAGAATGGGGTCACAAATATGTTAACTTAGAGCCTGGGCCTTAACACATAGGATTTATGAACCCCCAGTCTCTTTTTTACTTCCCACAAAGTAGATTATGGAGTTCTTTGACCCAGCTTCAAGCCTGTAGTTGAGAATAACACCATGGTGGATGGTAGAGCAGTAAGATAAAAGACACTTGGGTCCCTAGATGGCTTCGTGGAGCAGAGCTAGACTAATAACCTTGGATTAATACTCTTATGCAATTCTTGTGAGGGAGTAACAAATGTCAGTGTTCTTTAAACTATGTTTGGTGTCTGTTAAAAAAGTTTAGCTTTACCCTAATTCAGATAGTAAATATGTATTAATGAATAATAGCTGGGAGCTTAAGAAATGATGCTAGGGAAAGCCACCTCCCTGTTGTTCACCTCCCAAACCCTTTAAAATGCTTGGTATAACCAATATTAATTCTTTGTACCTATTGATTTTATTTTCTGCCATTTTACAGTTGCAGAAGAGCTTTCCTCTAGAGCAGTTGAGTCCGCAGGTTGACGCTCTATCCACTGAGCCAAACTGGTTAGGGCAGGAACTGTATTTAAAGGGCCAGAAGGTTGAGAACCACTGCTCTAGAGGAAACACTAGTAGTAAAATAGTCATGTTTTACATAAACCTTTTCATCTCTCTATTCCTTTTTCATTTTGACAAGGATAGCCAACATTTCTCATGTACCACATTGATGTTTCACTAGAAAAGCCCAGCAGCTTGTAATTATGTTGGCATGTAATAGATCTTAAACTCTGGAGACAAAGAGGTCACATTTCCATATTCACGAGCAGAGAAACTGTACTAATCCAGAGGCAGTTGTATAGGTTAGAACAGCAGTTCTCAAAGTACGGTCCAGGAGGTCTGATCTGCAAGGTCAAACCTATCTTTATAATAATACCCTATCTTTATAATAATACTAGAAGCCCAGCACGTGAAATCATACGGCTCCGCCCACCCGCGCTGGTCTTTGGTCATTATGGCATTAGGACCACTAAGTTTTTATAATATAGATTATGATGTCGCTTGCCTTTTCCACTCTCATTCTCCTACAGGTGTAAGATAGAGTTTTTTCAGGGGCTGTGTTACACGAGATGAGGTCATCACTCTGTTGGCTAATAAAATGAGCTTGTGTATCCTTGTGTTTTAAAAACTTCTCAGCTTTAACTTCTAATATAGTAAACATCAGAAGATATAACTCACATAAACAAAAGCTCTTTGGAGTTTTAAATAATTTTAAGAGGATCAAGGGATACTGAGGGTTAGAATAAAAAGTTTAAATTCTCAATAGTGGTTAAAACATACTTTATTTTTCTTTACTTCAAATACATAAAATTCAAAATGTTACCATTCATTTGATTATGTACCAAGCTTAAAAAATGGTGTTTTCTGGTATCCCTTTCAGAAGAACATGTATATTTTGAGGAGATATTTCCAAACAATCTTATTTGGAGTAACACTTGAGAATCAGAAGAATCTCAGTATAGGTAAACTATAACAGCCTGGAAAAGGAACAGAATTTCTTGTTAATCTACTGAGAGTGGAAAAGAGAGGTAGTCCCAGATTCAGGATAAAGAGCATCAACCTATATAGTAAAAGGCTATATGCAAATTGACCAAATGGTGGAACGACTGGTCACTATGACGCGAGATGCTCAATGCAGGTGCTGCTCCTGGTGATCAGTGCGTTCCCACAGGGGGAGCGCAGCCAGACACCAGGCTCATGGCTGGTGAGTGCAAGAGCAGTGGTGGGAGCCTCTCCCGCCTCAGCAGCAGCGCTAAGGATGTCCAACTGGCAGCTTAGGCCTGCTTCCCACGGACATCAGTCAGACATCCCCCAAGGGCTCCCGGACTGTGAGAGTGTGCAGGCCAGGCTGAGGGACCCCCTGAGTGCACAAATTTTGTGCACTGGGCCCCTAGTATACTATATAGTGTGACCCCTCTTAAATCTTTGGTACCAAGTTAATGAATTCATACATTCTTGAGGAGAGTTGATATTCGGGTAATTGGTCATGGGTCGAGCTTTAGGTCTATATCAATATAGGCACAGGCAGTGCGGAAGTGTTTGTGTGGGGGAGAAAAGGAGGCAAGCATGTGTAAACAACCCATCAGAGAATCAGAAAAACTGGATTAGGGAAACAGGCTCTTGACTTTAGAGCCAAAAAAGTGGACATTCAAGGCAAACTTACCTAATTTTCTGAGGGACAGAGAGTCCCTAGCTGAGCATTATCCTAAAATATTTCTGTAATACGTATAGAACCCCCCCGCCCCTGACACACACACACAACATTTACTCATAAGACACACCCTACTAGGCCACATAAGATTCATGTAACTTCACTAGTGGCTTTAAGTCTAGCAGGAGAACAAGATATGTTACAAGATATGTTACAATACATAAAAGAATATATGGTATCATCAATCACCTGTCCGGTGGCTGGGCTGTACTGTTGACAAGAACACCAACATATAGCCTTTCCGCAAGGCTTTGGCTTCTCACAGAGTGGTGGCTGGGTTCTAGAAAGCTTAAACTAAGAGAACAATCATTTGCTAGGAGTGATTGGGTACCACAAGGAAATGTAAGTACCTAAACAGATTTATCAACAAAATGCTGTGGGAAGGTTCATACCAGGTTTAATATATACTTATTGTTTATAATTTGTATGTTTGTTGGTGTTAAAATCTTTTGGGAATAATAAGTAGACAGGATAGAGAAGGAGTCATTGAGAGAGGAGACAGCACTAAATAAATTGTGTTGCTGGTCCTACTTATTTCTACCCTATAGGCAGAATTGTGGTGTCACTCTCTGATGATTCTTACTTTGATTGAATGGCTTTGTTAAAGCTGGTTGCTGAAGCGCACGCATGCCTGCACACACACACATACACAAAATCTGCTTCAACAAAAGGAAAGATTATGGGAACACAGAGAACCTAGGTAGAAACACAGTATAGAGTAGCTGAACTTCCCACAGACTAAAACAAGCAAATGCTAAAACATCAAGAACCAATTCTGCTACATTTCTTCCACCTTCCTGGGAGAAATAGACTCTCACCTCTGCTTCTGTTTGTACATTAGCAGAGCTTTTTATCTTTTCTTTTCCTTCTGCCACAACAATGGCAATATCCCAGATAGAGACTGCTCTGTTAGCCCAAGTACAGTGAAGAAGACATGGAGCAGAGCTGTGGGCATTTTGCACGAAGAGATAAGCAAACCTTATTGTAGGCCACCGAGATTTTTGGAATCATTTGTTACTCATCATAACCTATCCTATCATACTAACTGATACACATGGCTTATAAGTTCTTGCTTATTGCTCCATCTCTTTGCTATAGCCCCAATAGCCTTTCAGTACTTATACAATGCTCCCTCCCATTTTAGATCATCTGTTATTCTGTCTCCTTGGAAAGTCTTTAACACATATTTTTGCCTAATTAACATTTACTCCCCAGTGAGACCTCAACTTACCCGTGAAGTACTCAGGAAAGGATTGTCTGACCTGTATTCAAAGCCCCCTGAATTACCTTCTCTGTCATTATGTCTCCTTAGCTAAACTAAAAATTCCATGAAGATAGAGATCAGGTATGCCTTGATCAGCACTATATTCTCAGTGACAGGAAGGAAGAACTTTTTTCTTTTCCAAAGAGTAGATTTTTCTGCATCTTTGTACATACGGCAGAAAATGGCCATTCTAGTCCTAGAACCGTAACACCTCACACTGCAGGGCCACCAGTTAATCAACATTCCAATGTTCTGTTTCCAGATTCTTGGAAACAGAATTTTGTTGGCTTGCAGATGTTCTATCACGGCCCACCCCAAGGTTCTTGAAATTTCTAGGTCAATCAGAATCAACATGGCTACAGAGACCTGTTCTATGGTAATAGGGCAATTCTCAGAGAAGTGGATGTGGGCTGAGAAGGCATTGCAGAAAATATCTGCTACAGTCGCTAAAACTAGTTTACTCTTCTGTGTTCTTGACTTTTTTTTTTTTTAACTATCTTCTTCTCAAAATTATCCTCATACAGCACACAAAGGAAATATCCCTACAAGGGATTTCTTAAACAAGAAAAGAGTGATCAAGTCGTTCCGATTCTGTCTCCCTGAGTTCTGCCTCTCCTTTGGTAATCCGTGACTTTGATTACCACTGCTACTTCACTACTATCCCTTAGAACTATGGGGTTACTCTTTTTTTTTTTAACACTAACATCAAAATAACAACACCAAAAATTACCTTCCTTCGATTCTCTAAAAATGCTTTTGGGATAAGCTAAAATTGGAAAAAACAACAACAACCCACTTTACTAATATTAAGAAAAAAAGGGGGGAAATAAAAAATTCAAGGCAATAAAAACAGTTTGGTTCACAAAGTAAAGTTTTTTGACCCTTTCCCTGTATCATCTAAATATCTGAAAGTCTGTTTCTCACCAATACCACAGAAAACAAAACAAAAATAATAAAATTCAATGCTACTAGGATTTTTCCTGTAAGATTTTTCATTTTAAAAAGAAAAATACAAGATAACATTTTCTATCGAATTTTTAATTGAAACTATTTCTATGTTTGGTAACTTCTAATTTTTAAAGATCTTTAAAATCGCTATAAAAAAAATTAAAGGTGCCTGCATAACTAGTGATATAATCCAGATATATTTGAGGTCTTTAACTTCTTATATGGACATGTGTAAAAAAACCTTACATTTGCTTTATGGTAATATAAACTAGAACATAACTTCAGATGAACTACACTTAGGATTCCCTAAAAACACTTGCAAATAGGGACTGAATACAACTCATCTGAATCAACACGATACGAGTTTCCATGAAAACTTTTTCAAGTGCGCTTCATTCTGATAAGTGTGTTCCATGTACTATTACTTCCCCTTACCTTGGCCCTGAAGAGAAACTATGAGATGGGTAGCAGTTTTTAGCTTAAATTAAACTAATTACTGTTTAAACCATTACATTTTCCACATTATCAAGCAGTTTTCATTTTGTCTTGGTGTCCTTTTTGTATTATACTACTTTTCCCAGCATAACTGGTCTCAGAAATAATTCCTATAACTTTAAAAACTTTTATTTTTGTTGTTTACATTTACATGTGATATATACAATTACAATTATCAATACTTGTTTTAGCATTAGAAATATGTAAAATTTTAAGTGTTTTCCTAAGGTAAAAATTTTGAGGGGGTATATAATGCTTTGAGTTCCGTTTAAATGAGGATTCTATTTTAAAGTACTTATAGCGGCATGGTCTAGGAAACAGAGGACTGGCAATTAGGAGATTGAGGTTCTAGGCTCCATTTCTGCCACTAAATTGCCATGTTCCTAATTAGCTAAGTAAATTATGGCTTTTCCCTCCTTCTTAAAACTCCATGGTGCTAAAAACGTGAATGTTTTCTGTATTTTATCTAAATTTATTTTTAAAAAGAATACCCATTGACTCTATTTCTCAGTCCTTACATAGGTCATTTTAAATTCCATCATTGTTAAGCAGCTACTATGTGCATGCCAGCAATATTAAATCCATTCTGGAATAAAGCAAGGCAAAAATAAGCCAAATACATTTGCATGCATTTAATGCTCTAAATTGTACATTTGTAATTGTTGAGATGGTAAGTTTTGTTATGTATATTTTATCACATGCAGTGCTCCCTTAACATTTCATTCATACCATTTAAAACTGCATTATCGAAACAGATTGGTTTGGACCTCAGTCTGTTTCTCTAAAGGACTCAATCACTCCAGGGACAAGAACTCTTTTGTAATTCTAGCTGTTAACTCCAGGGCCTTAGCACACTCGCTGTCTGGCTCTTAGTTACCAGGGAGGGCATTTATAACCTGGCTTTTCCAAGAGTTGTTATTGCATATATTTTAATTATTTTTAACCAAGGCAATGTATTAAACATATAAATAGCTGTAAAAACTTTTGAAATACACACCAGAAAAATTCTTTTTCACCTGTCATGAGTTGGAGTTCAGAAAATCTGGTCACAGAACTCCAGACCTTCAACAAATGTTTGTCAAATTAATGCATGAGACTTGAGAAGACGAAAAGATAAACATTAAATCCCAGCATAAGTCCAACAGATCTTACACGGAGTGTAAGACAAGAACATAATGGTATACTCACTTCTTAAGATACATGCCAACTAAGCCATTATTGAGGTAGCTATCTAAGGAATCCCTACCACTTTCTCCCAAGCAGCTTTTAACAAAGCCATTGTATTTCAGCCTCCGATCATCTAAAGGTAGGCAGTTGCCTAGAATAATATCTATTCATTGCTCAGACAAAACAAAAGCTACCTGTT